CTTCATTTTTCACGTGTGCATGATATTTCTATGGTGATACCAATAGAAGGAATGTAAGGAATGCTAGTCAAGAGTGTTTGATTTTGTCCACTTTCATGGTCTTGATGTTGAAGCATGGAAAAAACTGAATGGTGGTAATAACTCCAGTTTTTACGTGTTCACGATCTTTTTACCATGGAATAATAAAAATGCGATGAATTTTCGTCAAGGTTGTTTCATTTGTCTGCTTTCATGATTTTGATGTTGAAGAATGGAAAAAAAAATCTATAGTGATCATTCTTCATTCACCGTTCATGGTCTTCTACTATATAATAAATTGAAAAGAATATGGTGGATATTTTTCATGTTTTTGCTATGTGTCCGCTTTCATTACATCGATGGTGAAGCATGGAAATAATGAATGGCGAAAATTACTTCATCTCTATGGTCTTGATATTATTTTCCAAGAAATAAAAACGGAACACTCGATAAGAGAGAAATGAACCAAAAGAAAAACTTCTTACCTGTTGGTTATACACTTGTATTATACTAGTAAAAGAGCTTGTGCGTTGCAACGGGAGAAAACAATACACAGGCCCCTAACCCAATAATCATGACTCAAGACCCCAATACATCCATGTTCCTTACTTGAACATGGCATCCCATGCTCTCTCTCTCTCTCTCTCTCTCTCTCTCTCTCTCTCTCCCTCCCTCTCTCTCTCTCTCTCTCTCTCTCTTTCTCTCTCTCTCTCTGTGCATAAGATGAAGATCAACTTTCTTTTTTTCATGTGATGTTTTGCCGAGGCATGTATGTGTGGTTATTGATGGTTTCTTTTGTCTTCAATCTCATTTTGATGAGGTGTTCATTTGCAACACAGATAGACCTCGGTACGGAAAAAGACGAATTGTGCGCCATTGATTAAAATTACACCATAAATAGAATTTAAAAAATGTTAAATAAGGAAAATAACATCATATTCAGATTGTACACATAGGTATTGATTAAGATCACACCATAAATAGAATTTTAAAAATATTAAATAAGTAAAATAACATCATATTCAGATTATACACATTTCTATTGATTAACATTACACAATAAATAGAATTTAAAAAATGTTAAATAGGTAAAATAACACCATATTAAGATACTACACTTTTTTCTAATCAAATTTTATATATAACAATTCAAAATTGAAGTTAGGGTTTAAAAGATATGGTTTTTTTAAAGCATTTGTCACTTATAGTTGAACAACGGGCTATTAATAGAAACGGCAGGGTGTTTAATAAAAAATATGAAAAACGATTTGTTTTTTTACTTAAGTCTGGACTGTGGATTTATTTCACACACAGGGGGGTTTCTAAAAAATACAAAAAATGATTAGTTTTATCACCAAGACCCTTGGAGGGGTCTTTCCTTTTTTTTGCGAGAAAATTTCCGATCTATTCATCTTCAATCATGGCAGTACAACGAATACCAGAAATAATAGAAATTACATCCAGATTCGTAGACCACCTAGCGACAACTACCAGCGATATACTATTTTTTTCATGTGTAATCAGATTGTCATGTCGATCTTCAGTTGGTTTTGGAAATCTTGCTGCCCAGAAGGAAAACGGAACACTTAATACGAGAGAAATGAACCAAAAGAAAAACTTCTTACTGGCTGGTTATACACTTGAATTATATTCGCCCTGATCAGACGGTCCAACAAAAAGTTGTTCATGGTCACATCGCCCCTTCAAGAAAGGAGGTGAATTGATCTTTATTCAGTGAAACAATAGGGCAAAGAGGAAGAGAGAGCGGCTAAATGGCTCCCAAGCTCATCTGCTCCTGCCTATAAAAAAATTAAAAATTTGATTAATTTTGACATGGATGATGTTTAGATGGGTGATGTTGATGTCAGTTTTTAGCGTGTTCGGACATCTGAGTAGCTCTCAGCAAAAAAATAAAATAAAATTAGGTATGACTCATATTTTTCTCTAGTTCCCGTCGGACTTAACTACAACTCATATTTTTTTTAATCTAAACATCAGTTGGTTACGGTTCCATGATGGCTCATGATTTTGCATAGTGTTTGGAATGAAATCTTTGATGCTCCAAGAGGTTAAAACATGCTTTAGGAACCAACTTGAATTTTCTATTCATGGTGTGTCCTCATTTTTCTTTCCGTTTTTACACTGACAGGAACTAGAGAAGTTTCGTATGGGATTTGTTAGTTCGAGGAATGAAACGTCATAAAGATTGTTTGAGTTCTCCATGTTCAGAAGAAATTTGGTGATAAAGCATGTGAAAATGGATGGAATTACTTCATTTTCACATGTTCATGATATTTTTATGGTGATATCAATAGAAAGAATGTAACGAATGCTACTCAAGAGTGTTTGATTTTTTTCCACTTTCATGATCTTGATGTTGAAGCATGGAAAAAAAATGAATGGTGGTAATTACTTCCGTTTTTATGTGTTCACGATCTTTTACCATGGAATAATAAAAATGCAATGAATTTTCATTGAGGTTGTTTGATCTGTCTGCTATCATGATTCTGATGTTGAAGCATGGAAAAAATCGATGGTGAGAATTCTTCATGCACTGTTCATGGTCTTCTAATATATAATAAATTGAAAAGAATATGGTGGGTATTTTTCGAGTTTTTTCTATGTGTCCGCTTTCATTACATCCATGGTGAAGCATGGAAACAATGAATGGCAAAAATTACTTCATCTTTTTTTGCGGTCTTGATCTTTATTCCAAGAAATAAATAGGAAAATGCAATGAATATTTGTCAAGATTGTTCGAAGTGTCCATGATTATTTTCAAGCGAAATGTAAAATAACCTTTTTCCCATGTGCCCATGTTTTTTATCTCTACGCAAATAAATAAGAAAACTATTGTAAAAAATACTTTATTTTGGCGAAGATTACTTGTGGTGAACCAAAGGACCAAGGATTTGGAATAGAATGACATATGAAAGAAGCTTAGAGCATCTACAACCGGACTTGACAAATCTGGCCCCTCAAACGCGCCCCGGCGCGTCCGTGGGCACTGACCGAACACCCCTCAAATATTGCGCCGCACATTCACATATCACAAATTTCGATCCTCTAATCCATGCAATCCATGCACATCGGTCATACGTACAAATTATCCGAATTCCAAAGTTCGAAACAAAGCAAAGCAAATCATGGTTCAACAAATCGGACATGCCAAAATGAAATCAATGCCCAAGTGTGACAGATGACCTCGGATCACTGGTCGGGCGCCTGCTCCGAGTGGAATGCGTCGTGCTCCAGGCGGAATACATCCTGCTGTGCCTGCATCCGGGATGCCTGCTCTGCCTACATCCGACTGCCTCCTCCGCCTGCATCCGGACTACCTACTCCTCCTGCATCCGTGCTGCAGCCGTCCTCGCCGCCTCGTACTCCCTACGGTCATTGATCTCCTTCTTGTCCGCAAGCCACTTCTTCGCATGCTCATCCAAGAGGGTTTCACCTGCCAACATGATCCTCACATCTTCCGCGTCCCGTGCGAGTTGCAACCTCTCTTTCTCAAGCTCTATGTCGCCAAATGTATTTGCCTTCTCGAGTTCTCATTTGATCGCCACTTGTTGCTTCTCCAACTCGATCTCCTCCCTCTCAATTTCGAGCTTCTTCTCCGTCCTCTTCTGGTCCCACTCATCCTATCTTTCCTTTTGCGCATCCAACATGAGCTTGTACCTCTCCTCCTCCTTGTTCTCCCTCGACGTTCTCCGCCTTGCAAGTCGCAGCCAACGAAGTGACTCTGCCAACGGACGAGGCGGACTGCGTCTCCGTCGCGGCGGACTGGGTCGGGCTGGACGACATCTCCAGCGGTGGATCGGGAGCGGTGGTGAGGATTGGGAGCAGGGGCGGAGGACGGCGAGGGTCTAGGTGCGGGAAAGGTTGGAGGGTGGCGGGAGGAGGAGGAAGGTTTGATGGATTTGATGCAATTTGGGGTGGGGTCGGGCTGCCAGGTCCGACGTGGCGGGCGTGCCGGCCAGCCCGGACATTTGAGGTCCGTTTAAGGAGCCCGTCTGGATCGAAAAATCGTGACCGGTCAGTGACCGGACGGCCCGCGCGTGCGTATGAGGCGTCTGGCTATAGATGCTCTTAATGTGAGCTCGGCAAAATAAGAGGGGTCTTGTGATGAAAACGGCTATAGTTGAGGGTGTTAAATACAAAATAAAATCACCAACCTTACGATGGAATGCAAAGGTTTAATGTGGCCGAGAAGTTTGTATGTGTGTGGAGTTGCATTTTCCACATTTGATCCAAATGATAAATATGGGCAATGCACCTATACTAACCTGATCAGGCCAGGCAAAATCATAGAGTGAAAATTCCAAGCTTAGCCCTGGACGACCCGAAACATTTGAACATCGCATTTTTTTCAAATAATTATATTTGGGATATTTAACTATAGTATTATTCTTATTTTTAAACTGAAATGATTTTTTAAACCACATTTTGAGCTTTGTTCGGCCTTTCGGGCTGGGCTTCGGGCGGGATAGGTCGAGTCCGAGACCAGCCGAGATGTTGGTCTCTTGGGCTGGGCTGCCCATGAACACTTCAAAGACCTAAGACCGGAACGAAGAAATATGGGCAATGCACTTATATTTCAACATTGTCTCAAAAAAAAACTTATATTTCAACAGTCCAACATTTTGGAACGGAAGAATTCTGCTAGTTGCATTATCCTCATTTTTTGAGAACCTCGATCAATCGATTTTGCTGATCACACATCCGACCAGATATTTTCTGCGAAATCAGAGGCTGGCACGCAAAGCTGTCCACCGCACGGCAAGAGCGGTGTGCCATCTCAGGATTATCAGGGGCATAAGCGCATAGCATCATCAGGATTATATCAGATTATCAGCACGCCATCTGCCTTGGATTGGATCCATGGCTGGTGAAGCAGCGATCCATGGCGCAGCCACATCTGCACAAGCATTGCTTCTTCTGCTCCTCGTCCCACTCGTTCTACTGCTCGTCGGTGCGAAAACATGGAGCCGGAGGAGCAAGCAGCGGCTGACGACGTGGTGTGCCGGGCGGTGCTAGGGAGAAACCACCGCGACGATGGCAGGAACAAGCTGCTCCGCCAGCTGATCGACGTCAACATGTCGCTCCTGGGAGGGTTCAACGTTGAGGATTACTTCCCGAGCTTGGCAGTGGCGGACGTGTTCACCGGCATGGTGGTGTGCCCCAGGGCTAGGAGGGTTCGCAAGAGGTGGGACAAACTGCTCCACAAGCTCATCGACGAGCACGGGCGCCAGCGCGAGCAGGACGATGCCAGCGCAGACTTCATACACGTGTTGCTCGCCCAGCAGGAAGAGTACGGCCTCACCACAGACAACGTCAAGGCGATCTTGCTGGTAAATAGTACAGTGATTACTACTCCAATACTTCCGCAAAGCTGACAAATTAATCCATTCAGCGGTAATTTATTGGTACTGTAATTAACAGGACATGTTTGAAGCGGGGACAGAGACGACATATCTGGTGCTGGAATTCGCGATGGCAGAGCTGATGAACAACCCGCACGTCATGGCCAAACTGCAAGCGGAGGTGAGGAGGAGGCGTGCGCCAGCGGTGGCCGTAGGCAAGGACGAAGGAGATTTACAACAAGACGTGGTCACAGAGGAGGAGCTCGGCGACATGGCCTACCTGAAGGCCACCGTGAAGGAGACGCTGAGGCTGCACCCGCCGGTGCCGCTGCTCCTCCCCCACCTCTCGATCGCCGACTGCGAGGTCGACGGCTACGTGATCCCTGCCGGGACGCGGCTCATGGTCAACGCGTGGGCCCTCGCGAGGGACCCCGCGTCCTGGGAGGCGCCGGACGAGTTCGCGCCGGAGAGGTTTCTCCAGGGAGGCAGCGCGGCGGCGGTCGACAGCAAGGGAAAGGACTTTGAGTTTCTGTCGTTCGGGTCCGGGCGGAGGATCTGCCCCGGCATAAACTTCGCGAACACTGCCGTTGAGATGATGCTAGCGAACCTTATGTACCATTTCGACTGGGAGCTGCCGGCGGGGACGAAGGAGGTCGACATGAGTGAGGTGTTCAGCTTGTCGATCCGCCGTAAGGAGAAGCTCCTCGTTCCAACTCCAAGATCTTGCCGCGAGGAGTGAGGGGGTGCTTGTTGTTTCGAAAAAACATTTAATTAGGTGTGTGCAATCAATCCGCATATGCTCCAAGACCTTACAAGATAATACATAAAAAGTCAGAAGCCACTATCTCACAACATTTGTCGATATTTCTATCAACTTAATGAAGGGGTGCAGATTATGTGCGCCGCGTACCTTGACCTCACAACAAAGCCCAACATCTAAAGGCGGAGGCCCCAACCAAGCCGCATTGCCGGTCCGGGGCACGCACCTGCTCGGCACACTCTTAGTGGTCACTGCACGTGCACGCTGCAGAAGCCGCCGCCACCATCTTCCATCGATCCATCTTCAGAGTAGGCGCTGACACATCGACCTTGCCAGACCCTGACGTGGACGCCACCACGACGCCAGACAGCGCCACCATCCTGCGCTCGTCCATCAACACGCGTCCACCGCTGATACCCGCCGTTGTCGATGTGCTAGATGCCATGCCGGTCTTCCTTCGCTAACACCACCTCCCGCCACTGGTCCCATCCCCTCCGCCCGCAGTTCCTCTAATCGAGCACACGAACACCCTAGGCGGCACCTTCAAGAAGGGCACGACAAACATAGTGTCGCCGCCCAATCTGAGGAGATTTTGGGTCTTCACCCGGGCATTTTGTCGGAGTACAGAGGAGGGACATCGACGACACCTGCAAGAAGGGTCGCCACCGCCGGGATGAGAGAGCCATCTAGAGTTTTGTTTTGTCTGAATCCACCTCTACCAGCCCCCACCAACGCACCGAGGCCGAGGACAAGACCGCAAGCCACCAAATGAAGCGGAAGAAAGTCTGCAATGGGGAGGAAATCCACCGCGAGCACCGCTGGCCGAGGGCGGCGCCGCCATGCCCATCGGGGCCACCGCACAGATCCCAGAGTTCTCCACGAGGACCGGAGCGACGAGATCTGCCGCCGGGTGACTAACGCCGCCGCCCAAGCCATCGTCGGGAGTTAGCCGAGCACCCCCTGGCACAGGCCTTGGTTCGTCACCACAACCCACCACCACCTCGCCACCACGCGCCATCGCCGGAGGCAAGAACCTGCGCCGCTAGCGACCCAGATCCAGGGAAGTGCCCCACATCACCCAAACTGGCAAGGAAGGGAAGAGAACCTCCGCCACCGCCGGGCTTTGCTCAGTGGCTTCCTCTAGCGGCGTCGGAGGGAAGAACGGGACCTTTGAGGCCCCGGGGACTAGGGTTCGGTGTCCGCCCGAGTCACCCAGGTGGGGGCGACGCGGGGCGTTCGTTTTTTTTACAACATGTATAGGGTATTCATGTGCATGAAATTTCAAGCCTAAAATTGGGCTTATACATAAAGAAAAGACATTTTAGCTATATTTAGTAACTTAGAGCATCTCTAGCCGATCCCTGAAAAATTAAGATTTTGAGTTTACTCTAAACTAGACCTAGCCAAAGTACTAGATCCTATAACAAAGTAAAACTTTTACTCCTCGGTCAAAATCCCCCCCCCCCCCACCCTGGCGCCTAAAAACACACGTGAAAGATCGTGGATGTCGCCTAGAGGGGGGGTGAATAGGCGTTTTAAAATAATTACGGTAGAGGCTTGAACAAATGCGGAATAAACCTAACGGTTAATTTGTCAAGCACAAAACCTACAACAACTAGGCTCACCTATGTGCACCAACAACTTATGCTAAGCAAGATAAGTAACTATATGATAGCAAGATATATGACAAAGAACAATATGGCTATCACAAAGTAAAGTGCATAAGTAAAGGGCTCGGGTAAGAGATAACCGAGGCACGCGGAGACGACGATGTATCCCGAAGTTCACACCCTCGCGGATGCTAATCTCCGTTTGGAGCGGTGTGAAGGCACAATGCTCCCCAAGAAGCCACTAGGGCCACGGTAATCTCCTCACGCCCTCGCACAATGCAAGATGTCATGATTCCACTAAGGGACCCTTGAGGGCGGTCACCGAACCCATACAAATGGCAACCCTTGGGGGCGGTCACCCGTACCCGTCAAATTGCTCGGGGCAATCTCCACAACCTAATTGGAGACCCCGACGCTTGCCCGGAGCTTTACACCACAATGATTGAGCTCCGAACAACATCAACCATCTAGGGTGCCAAGGCACCCAAGAGGAACAAGCTCTAGAGTGTCCAAACACCCAAGAGTAACAAGCTCAAGGGTACCAAGCACCCAAGAGTAATAAGCTTCTCAACTTGTAACTTCCACGTATCACGTGGAGAACTCAAACCGATGCACCAAATGCAATGGCCAGGGCAGACGGAGTGCCCAAGTCCTTCTCTCCCAAATCCCACCAAAGCAACTAATGCTAGGGAGGAAAATGAGAGGAAGAATGAAAGAAGAACACGAAGAACTCCAAGATCTAGATCCAAGGGGTTCCCCTCACTTAGAGGAGAAAGTGATTGGTGGAAACATGGATCTAGATCTCCTCTCTCTTTTCCCTCAAGAACTAGCAAGAATCATTGGAGGGATTGAGAGTTAGCAAGCTCGAAGAAGGTCAACAATGGGGGAAGAACATGAGCTTAAGAGATAAGATTCAATGGGGAAGAAGACCCCCTTTTATAGGTGGGGGAAAATCCAACCGTTATGCTCACAGCCCGCATAGAGCGGTAGGCAAAACAACAGCGAGGAGGCAAAAGGCCAGTAGAACCGCCGGAGCGGTACTACCGCTCGACCTCACGGTACTACGCAAATGGTAGCGGTACTACTGCTTGCGAGCGGTACAAAAAAAATACTTCTGTACCTACCTCCGCAGGACTTGGGATGAGTTTTTTGGTCCGGAGCGGTACTACCGCTGTAGGAGCCGCGGTAGGACCGCTCTGGAGCGCTAGTAAAAAATTACATCCGCTCCAATTCGCGGTAGTAACGCTGCAGCCTTTTCAAAACACCAAAACTGCCACAACTTTTGCAAGCGGACTCCGAATTTGATGAAACCAAGTTTGTTGAAAAGCTAGCGACAAGAGCTAACACAATCTTGAAAGAAATATCAATAAGAAGCAAAATAGAAAAGCCCCATAAGAAAAAGGTGAGAACCCTTCCTCGGATAAGACTGGTAAAACCTCCAACACCGAAAACATCATAGAAGACGCATGCGAACTCAGTTTTCGTTGAACTCAAGCTTGTCATCAAGATTACCATAAGCTCTAAGACTCACAAAGAGAACCAAACAAGAACCAAGAAACATGATGCAAGGATACAATGGTTTGAGCTCTCTACTAATGATACGATCAAGCTACCAACTTGAGAGCCCCCCTTGATAGTACGGCAAACGATCCTATAACCCGGTCTCCCAACTACCACCACGAAACTGGTAAAACAGAAAACCTATCAAGGGCAAACATTTGCCTTGAACATGGTCCACTTGAGCTAGATGATGATGATCTTGACTCCCTCAAGTTGGACCACCTTTCTTGATTGCGTTAGCTCGATGAAGACTAGATGATTGCTCTCCCATAGTCCACTATGGGTGAGCCACTCTTCGGCACATCTTCACAAGTCCATTGACACCACAATGGATGGCAAGATTCAAGCACTTGATCTCGTCGTGATGCTCCACTTGAACTTGCACACGACAATCTTGATGACGACCACCACTTGATGTCATCCTTTCCATGGGTTGTATGATATCTTCCTCTTGACGCAAGCCCATGGTCACGTACCTAACCCCATATAGAACTCTCACATAGACCATGGGTTAGTACACAAAGTGTAATCAACAATGCTTTGTTGGAAATATGCCCTAGAGGCAATAATAAAATGGTTATTATTATATTTCCTTGTTCATGATAATTGTCTATTGTTCATGCTATAATTGTGTTATCCGGAAATCGTAATACATGTGTGAATACATAGACCGCAACATGTCCCTAGTGAGCCTCTAGTTGACTAGCTCATTTATCAATGGATGGTTATGGTTTCCTGACCATGGACATTGGATGTCATTGATAACGGGATCACATCATTGGGAGAATGATGTGATGGACAAGACCCAATCCTGAGCATAGCACAAGATCGTGTAGTTCGTTTGCTAGAGCTTTTCTAATGTCAAGTATCATTTCCTTAGACCATGAAATCGTGTAACTCCTGGATACTGTAAGAGTGCTTTGGGTGTACCAAACGTCACAACGTAACTGGGTGGCTATAAAGATATACTACAGGTATCTCTGAAAGTGTCTGTTGGGTTGACACGAATCGAGACTGGGATTTGTCACTCCGTATGACGGAGAGGTATCTTTGGGCCCACTCGGTAATGCATCATCATAAAGAGCTCAATGTGACCAAGTGGTTGGTCATGGGACCATGCATTACGGTACGAGTAAAGTGACTTGCCGGTAACGAGATTGAACGAGGTATTGGGATACCGGCGATCGAATCTCGGGCAAGTAACATACCGATCGACAAAGGGAATTGTATACGGGATTACTTGAATCCTCAACATCGTGGTTCATTCGATGAGATCATCGTGTAACATGTGGGAGCCAACATGGGTATCCATATCCTGCTGTTGGTTAATGGCCGGAGAGCTGTCTCGGTCATGTCTGCGTGATTCCTGAACCCGTAGGGTCTACACACTTAAGGTTCGGTGACGCTAGGGTTGTAGAGATATTAGTATGCAGTAACCCGAAAGTTGTTTGGACTCCCGGATGAGATCCCAGACGTCACGAGGAGTTCCGGAATGGTCCGTAGGTAAATATTTGTATATAAGAAGTCCAGTTTCGGCCACCGGGAAAGTTTCGGGGGTCACCGGTATTGTACCGGGACCACCAGAAGGGTCCCGGGGGTCCACCGGGTGGGGCCATCTATCCCGGAGGGCCCCATGGGCTGAAGTGGGAAGGGAACCAGCTCCTGGTGGGCTGGTGCGCCCCCCTTGGGCCTCCCCCTGCGCCTAGGGTTGGAAACCCTGGGGGTGGGGGCGCCCCACCTGACTTGGGGGGCAAGTTCCCCCCTTTGGCCGCCGCCCCCTCCCCTTGAGATTGGATCTCTAGGGGCCGG